CAAGAGGAGTTGGAAAAGGCTTCCTGGAGAAGATGGGATTTTAGCTGGGACTTAACAGGAAGTTAGTTTTTTGACACATGTATATGAAATGAGGTAGTATTTGCAAAGGGCTTAGCTCAGAGCCTGATATGCAGTGGGAACTTAATAGGCGCTTATCCCCCCATGTGTGTCTGTGTGCACGTGCGTCTGCTGACTAGACGTTTATGTCCTCAACCGATCAACTAACAAGCGTTTCGGACTTGAGAAATAAAGACGAAAATGACACGTAGTATTTGTTACATACACGTTCCAGTTTCGTTGGACTATACGTGTGTACACACGTGCACGTGTTTATTATGTTGGGGTGTATTCAAGCATCTACTGTGTACATGTGTACACATCTCTTTTGCAGGTGTGACTACATGTGCCTGCTGTATTGTGTGTGCATATGTGTGTGGGGGTGTCTGCATGTGTCTATTACGTGTGCATGTGCTGAGTGTCTAAGCTCCTGGCTTCCTGCCATCAGAAAGCCTTGGGAGGATTCCCAGCTGGCCAGGAAACTACGGCCATTTCCATCGCTGTTCCTCGCTCTGTCTGACGCTCAGACTGTTCCTAACCAGGAAGGGCCCTTTCCGGGGGATTTCGGGGATGAAGGGGTGCAACATACAGGGAAGGCCAGGAAGAAATGGGCCTCCGCCTGATGCTGAGTCATGAAACTTCATGAAAGTAACTGTCCAGGGCATGGACATCAATAGGATCCTTCAGAACTGGGGGCCTCACTCAAGCCTCCCAGCACCTCTGTGAAACAGGGCAGGAATCATCGGCCCATTTTACAGGCGAGGAAAATGAGGCTCAGGAAGTCAACACGGTCCTTATCCCCTGACTCTCAGTCCCCCACTCCTTCCAACAGACTGAAAGCTAAGGCCATTTCTGCAAATAATAACTGACTCACAGGATGTTTTAGCGTTCATAAAGCACTTCATGGCTATTACCTCGTGAGAGCCTTCCCCCAAATTATCTTCTACTTATCTTGTAGACATGTATTAATGTACATGTTGTCTTCCTCAGTAGACTGTAAGCACGTTGAGGGTAGGAAGTGTTTGATTTTTGATTATGTGTGTCCAGAATCTCACACGGTGCCTGGCATACAGTAAGTGTTCAATAAATGTTTTTTGACTCACTGCTATCCCAAGCCCCTTGGGGGTAGGGACTGGGCCAGTCTTCATTTCTGTAGCCTTATTATCTAGCACACGGCCTAGAAAAACACAGTAGGCATTTAATAAATGCTTGTCCAATTGAATTCGATAAGCTTCACAGAGGAGATGGTTACTAGGTATGGGTCAAAGGGACGGATAGGAGATTAGAGGAGGGGGCCTATCAGGCACAGCAGAAGCAAAAGCATGGGGTCAGGAAGGAACAAAATAAGGTCAGGAGTCAGTGAATAATCCAGGATGACTGGAAGGAAGGGGTGTGTTGAAGGGGGGATGGGGAAGGAGTTCTAGCAAAAACAATCCTCTAAAGCAAGCAGGCAAAGCTGAGTCACAGAGGGCAGCCTTCCTGCCCTCCCAAAAGGAGAGGCCCCACATGGCCCAGGGGCTAGTGTACTGGGTTTGGAGAAAGAGGCTCCAAGCTCGACATAAGCCAGAGAAAAGATTCCCTGGTAATCACTCATTCGTTGGCTCCTGGGATATGCAGCTCCAAAGGGCTCGAGAGGGCCTCAGGTTAAATGCCCCCATTTTACAGATGAGGAAACTGAGACCTAAAGAAGTTTAGGGATGGCTTACCCAGTCACATTGCTAGTAAGAGCCAAACACAGTGTTCAGACCAGAGAACCTGGGCTCTCTGAGACCCTGATTTTGAGGTAAAGAAGTCACGTAGTCTGACTCCCCCATTGTAAAGATGAAGAAACTAAGGCCAAGAGGTTTCCTGACTCCCTTCTAATTAGCTAAGACTTATCAGAAGCCCATGGAGGAAGCTTAGTCATGCCCAGCTGTGGGACTGTGGGAGTCTGTCTAGAGGGGGCATCTTCACAGAGTCTCAGAGGGCAGAGTTCAGAGGGGCCATGGGGATCCTCTGGACCACCCTCTTCACTGACAAGGAAGGAAACCAAGGCCCAAGAGGCCAGGCTGCCTCTAGGGATCTGCCTTCTTCCTTGAGCCAGCCGCTGCTCTGAACAGACCCACAGAGCATCCCCAGGACACACAGGCCATGCTCCAGGCCTGCCCTGATGCTCTCCACTCTCTCCCTCTCAGCATCCTTAATTTCCTTCCAAGTTCCGCTCAAATGTCTCCTCTGACTTGAGGCTTTTCTGAACTCTCCTAGCTACTTCCCCCGCCCCCCCCTAAAAAAAATTAGCTTGCATTTACTTTGTATTTGTAGAGGGGGGCTAACAGTGGATAGCCTTAGAGTCAGGTGGTCCTGGGTTCTAGTCCCCCCACTAACATACTGTGGCTGTATGGCCCTGGGTAAATCACAACCTCTCTGTGTTTTAGACAGCCTAGCCTGGACGTCCCAGAGGAGCAGCTGATCTGTATTGGTAGATGGAGTTTTAGCCTGGGGTGAGGGGGGCTCCCTAGATCAGTGAGGTCACAGGGCCAGTCCCATCCTCCCCTGTTCTGCACTGCATTTACACATGTGAGTATATGCATGTGTATATACACATATGTACACGTGTTCTTCCTCCTACTGAATGTAAGCGTGCCGATGACTCAGGCCACTCTCCATTGTCAGTGTGAGACACTTAACAAAACTTACAGATGATAGGAACGATGCCCCATTTCTACAGCATGTTGAGGTTTAAAAAGGGGCATTTCCACACAACAACTCGGGGAGGTAAGCTGAGACTCAATCACGGAGGCAAAGAGATTTGTGAATAAGCATTAGCACCAGGGCTTGTGACTGCAAGACCTGTGTTCTCACCATTGCTCCACACTGCCTTTCCATGCCATGGGAAGACGCTGTGAGGTTACTGCTAGATAAATTCCCAGGATGGGAATTCCCTACACATAGCAGATAGCAGCCAGTCCATAAAGCTGGAAGGGATAGGCCTAAGAGGTGGCTTGGTACAGTCCCTTCATTCTGTAGATGAGGGGAAGTGACTCACCCCTGGATCATAGAGATTGATCCTGATTTGCCCTGGGCTAGACAGCAAGAAACTGTCAGAGGCTGGGTTGAACCCAGGTCTCCATCACTCTATGTTTGGCATTTTAACCATTATGCCAGGAACCTTCACCATAATGAAATTACGCACTTCTGTAATACCATTTAATGTTTACAAATTGCTAGAGGAGAACATCAATGGACTGGTTTCATACTCATTCAAACTTGCCTCAGCACATGACTCCTGGCTACTTCCCATCTCAGTCCAGTGACCTTCTTATACTGGCAATGCCCCCAGCCCTATGGCATCCTCCTTTCATGGGTGGCTTCCTCACCACGGCCAGCCTTCCAGCTCAACTCCAGGCCCACTTTCCCAGCTTCCCTGCTTCTTTCACTGCCACCCCCATGGTTCAGTTCCACTTTATGGGTCATCTTCTTCCTTTAGAATGTAAACTCCTTGAGGGCAGGAGCTATCTTGATTGATATTTGTATTCCTAGTGCTTTCAATAGTGCCTCTTTTCTCTCCATCAATCCATGCATCTATCTATCTATCTATCTATCTATCTATCTATCTATCTATCTATCTATCTATCTATCTGTCTGTCTGTCTGTCTGTCATCTATCTAGTCTACCTATCTAATTTATCCATCTATCCATCATCCATCCATCCATCCATCCATCCATCCATCCATCCATCCATCCATCCACCTATCTATCTGCCTGTCTATCTTTCTGTATGTCTATCTATCTATCCATCTATTTACTCATCTATCATATTTTTCTCAATTCATCCATCCATTTATCTATCTTGTCTATCTATCCATCCATCCATCTAGTTACCTATCTTGTCTATTTATCCATCTATCTATCATAGCTATCTGAGATCACATTTGAACTCAGGTCTTCTAATTCTAAGCCTAAAGCTCTATCCAGCTGTCTCCATAGATAGATTGCAGGAGGTGCATGCACTTGAATGGGAAATTCATCTTTGTTTTCACTAAACTCTAAGTGATTCAGCATTTCCATCCATTATGAATGTAGGTAACAAACCATATTCTGAAGAGGGGTCCACAGGCTTCCCTAGATAGCCAAGAATGAGGGAAGGGAAGAGGATCCAGGAAAGGTTCAGAACCCCTGCTTCTAGGGAGACCACCACCTTCCTTATTCTAGAGATGCTGCCTTGCTCAGAGCAGCCTAAGATCATGGCAGCTTTTTGGGCTGTGATGAAATGCTACCAACTCATAATCAACTAGGGATTATAAAAACAATCATTGCAAATGAACTGGATAATTCATAAATTGGACAGATGATCACCGAGAATCATGGAATATCCAAATAGGAAGGGACTTTAGAACACAGGTTACCAGAACTAGGAGGGGTCTTAGAACAGAGAATGTCAGAGCAAAGAGGAACCTTAGAACCTAGAATGTCAGGGCTGGGAAGGGCCTTAGAACACAGACTGTCAGAGTTGGGAGTGGCCTTAGCACATGGACTGTCAGAACTGAGAGGAACCTCAGAACCTAGAATATCAGAGCAAGGGGGGACCTTAGAACCTAAAATGTCAGAGTTGGGAGGGTCCTTAGAACATAGACTGTCAGAGCTGGAAGGGCCTTGAGAACATTAAAAACAAATCAACAAACCACAGAATGTCACCACCGGGATAGATCATAGAATCATCAGATTTAGAAGGAACCTTAGAGATCACATAGCATTTATGAAACTGAGCCTTAGAAAGGGGAAATGACTTGCCCATAGGCAGTAGGAGGCAGGCCCAGAATTTGAACTCAGGTTTCTTGGTTCCAGTTCCTAGGCTCTTTTTCTGTGCTGTCTTCTTTTTAATCCCAGCCTCCACCAAAGAGAGACCCCAGCCTCCCCCGTGGCCTCCTGTGTCCACAGAGGCAGGGCAGGGGAAAGCCACTTACCTGCCTCATTGGTGGGGCAGTCCTGGGGGCTGCACCTCTGGGAGTTTTCAGGCCATGCTTCATGATCACAAAGACTATTGTCCTCTTCTGGCTGACCAGTCTTGGTGTTGACACACTTGACCAGACGCCGCTGAATCCCTCCACCACATGTGGCTGAGCACTGGGGGAAAAAGACCATTGGAAGAAGGATTCATTCATTCATTCATTCATTCATTCATTCAACAGGCATTAAAAGATTACCGTGTGCTGCACATTGATCTGGGCCCTGGGGAGATGTGAGGTTTAGACAAGATATAACCCTTCAGAGAGCTCATGGTCCAGTAGTGGGATAAGACAAAAATACTTAGAACTGACTACATACTTATCACATGATAAGTGCATTGGGAGGGGTATAAAATCAAGCCATGTGGGAGGCCCATTAACAATGGGAGTGATCAGGGAAGGCTTCCTGAAGGAGATGGCCTTGGCATTGCATTTTCAAGGAGGAGGTTGCTGTAATTGCCCTGGTGGGTGGGAAGCCACCCACGCTAATGTGGTACCTGTGGGAGGAAAAGAGGATGGAGGAGAACTCTTTTGGCATATGGTACACTGGAAAGAGCGGTGGAATTGGGAGTCAGGGGTCATGCAGCAAATCCTGCTGCATTGGTTAAGTTATTCTTTCTCAGTCTCAGTTTCCTCCCCTATACAATGAGGGGAGCGGGACCAGATGGACTCTTGGAAGCCATCCCTCTTTACATCTATGACTGTTTTATGTGAGACGTGCTGCAGCCTTGGGACAGATAGGGTTTGGACCCACAGGGCCGCTTCCTGCTCCAGGGTGCAGGGCTCAGGGCTTCTGTCTCCACCTGCCCCTCACGGGCAGCTCAGAAAAGGAGTCTGGGTCCCTGGCCTCGGTCACAGAATCATCATGACCGCCGTTTACAAAGCCTTTTAAGGTTTACAAAGCACTCTCCACAAATGGTCTCAAAGTCTCATGGGTGGTATTATCTCCACTTTACAGATGAGGGAACTGAGATTCTAGGAGTCAAGTGATTTGGCCACAGTCTAAAGCCCTGGAAATACCAGAGGGGCTTCATCGTAACAGCAGCTTTACACATGTTATCTCCTTGATCCTCACAACAATCGTGGGGATTCAAACCCAGGTCTCCCCCAATGCCCCCCCCAACGTTCTCTCCAATAGGCTACCCTGTTGGCTGAGTGCCAATGACCTCTTGGGGGCCACTTCTAGCCTTTGTACTGTGCGATGGGCGGTGCCAGAGCTGGGGGTGGCACATCTTTACCTCCAAAGCATTATAGAAGTTAGAGGTGGAAGAGCTCTTAGACATTCCCCAGCCCAATGCCATCATTTTACAGATGGCCAGACTAACACCCAGAGATGTTCATTGACTTGCCTGAGGTCACACATTTGCCAGTGAGTGACAGGATTTGACCCCAGGGTGCCCATCCCTCAACACTCACGGCGTTATTTGGGGCTCACTTTAAAAGCCTGGCGGGCTCCCTCTTTCCAGCTCACCTGTCCCCAGGGCCCCACCACCCACTTGGTACACGGGTGAGTGTTGCAGGGCCTGGTGGTGTTAGGCCGAATGGTCTCCTCGCAGCGCCCAAACTCCGGGCAGGTCACCAGGCGTTCTTGCTCTCCTCCTCCACAGGCCTCGGAGCACTGAGGGGAAATGGAAACCCCCTGTTAGGACTCGGGGGCACTGAGAGCCTAGGGGAAGGCAGCGGGGACTGCTGACTGTTGGTCTGGCCTCTGTGTAGTCTGGAGGAGCCCATCAGCAGCCTGAGGTCAGGCTGTTATCTGTCAGAGAAGGCCCGCATCCATCCCCTCCCTGCCGCACCTCACACAAGGCACCTTACTCCTTGTCAGTGCATCAGATACTGTAAGTGAGGAAAGCTGGGGTGGGGGGAGAAATTCTGGGGTCAAGGCTAGCTTTATGTAAAATGGAGTAGGCGTTGGCCACATGGAGGCCAGCGGAGAGGCATCAGGAAGACATTCCTATCTCTAAACAGTTTCTTTCCTCAGATAACTGGCAAAGGGCCTTGAATTCCACCATTTGAAAGTCATTTCTTTGGCCCCTTTTAGGCTCTTGTACAATGCACGCTCTTCTGACTGCCCACCATTTTCCCAGGGGTTACATTTAGTCTCTTCTGCCTTAAGGTAAATGAGTTAGGGAGAGGAGTTTTATCCCTCAGAGGAAGGGCCCAGAGTGTCCTGAGGATTCTGGACTCCAAGTTGGATACATAGGCCAGTAGGAGTTTCCAAATACAGGAAAGGGGCGTGGCCTAGAGGCTGGGTCCGCACCTTTCGGGTGTCTGAGGGCCAGGGAAAGGGCCTGGGAGCCTGGGGAACCCCTTCACCATGCCCTTACCTCTCTCCAGGATGACGTGTACCAATCGAGGCAGGGGTCCACATGGCAGGACAGCTGGCCCAGAGGCTTGAAGAGGCCAGGCTGACAGTGGAAGGGGCGGAGGAGCCGGCGGTCCCGGGTGTCTACGCAGTGCACGTCCCGGAACCTGAAGCCACCCCCACAGTTCCGGGAGCACTGGGGTGGGAGAAGGGGAGACATGTCACTGAGAGCAGCAGACGATGACAGCAAGCTCCCAGACCATCCAGATCTGGTGTGCGCTCCATGCCTTCCACGGTGGGGAGGACAAGGAGGGCCCTCTCACACCAAGCTTAGGATCTTGTCCCTCAGATGGTCTCTGCTTCCCTGGCCTAGCCCTTCCCTTCTCCAATAGCCCCAGAGACCCATGGGAATAACTATGACCAGTGCCCTCTGCCCTAACTCCAGGGCTACTCAGTTTCCCCAACAGGGGTTAATAACTGTTCAGAGACCAGGGTCCAGTCAAAGGCTCGGTCTCCCTGAGGGTCCAGGGCTTGTGTGGGGGAGGTGAGGGACGGTGATAGACTCTCTACCTTGCTCCAGTTCCCCACGCGCCATGTTGAACAGGGTCTCAGGTAGCAGCGACGGGCAGGCACCGGCTTGCTGGTGGGGATACAATCTTCCTCCTGACCTGTGCTGCAGCTCACGGACCTCCAGATGGCTCCCAGGCCACAGGTGGTGGAACACTATGGGAAGGGGTAGAGTGAGCTTGGTGCCTGTCTGCTCCCAGCAGCACCCGACACATGGGTCAGCCTCCTCAGGCCTGAGAGAGTTAGCTGGTGAGAGCCAAAAGGGCCTAGGTGACTGGGGCCCAGAATTACCAACAATAATTATTCTTTTTCTGTGAATGCTCTGGAGCCTTGCCTCCATCATACGCTCTCTTACGTCACCCTTGCCCTCTCTACTACTAAGTTGCAAGCTCTTGGAGGGCAGGGATTACATGTAGAAGCTTCACAGTCTTTTTAATGGCAGAGAGGATCAGATATGCACATAAACAGCTATGATGAGTACTTGGGGAACGAATGAGTGATGGGGAAAGTAGGAAGGAAAGCGTCTCAGGTGGCCTGGTGGTCATGCCTTGGGATGACTGTCCTCTTTCTCCTCTGCACTGACCCCCAGTCCAGGGCCAGAGGAACAAATACAGAGCCATTATGCTGTCATCTCACCTTAGGAAGGGCCTAGGGATTAGAAGATTGACGTTCAGATCCCAGCTCTAGAGCCAGCCTTGTGGCTGCCAGCCAACTCTTCCCCCTCTGTAAGCCTGAACCTTTCAATCTGAAAAATGGGCCTTCTAACGTTAGCATGTGATGGGGACACTCAAACCTCAGCTTCCTGAACCTTAGGTACGGGGAGAGGAAGGGGGAAGGGAAGAAGGGGAGAAGACTGCAGGCTGAGCTTGTCACGTCCCTGATGGCACCATGCAACACTGAGTCCTTTTTCAAATCCCAATTATCTGCACGTTCAGCTGGGCGCACAGCCTGGAGGCTGAATGCTGGAGAATTGTCTGCTCCGTCTTCTTCGCGTGGAATTATCCATTTCTCAGTTAGGTGATATTGGACCAAATTGATAGATGTGTGCTGTGCAGACCGAGGGAGGCCACCCCCTCTACTCCTTCCTCCTCGCCCCTAATGCTCTGTCCCAGTCAGATCCTATCTGGGGCACAGAGTCCCATCCTGGGAGGACATTGGCAACTCAGAGAATGCCCAGAGAAGCTCAGCCAGAACAGTGAGGGGTCAGGAAATCATGCCTTAGGAGAATCAGGAATATTGAACTTGAGGCAGAAAAGACTCAGGAAAAGAGGAGAGCTATTTTCAGGGATTAGAAGGGCTATTACGTGCAAGAGCGATCAGACTTGTTCTTGGCCCCAGATAGCAGAATGGGGGAAATGGGGGAGGGGCATTACAGGGAGGCCAATTTTGGCCTGATACAAAAAATATTTCAGACAATTCGACTAGGCCAGAAATGACGTGGGTTGTCTTGTTAAGTTGTAAGCTCTGTGCTAGGAGAAGTATTGAAGAAGAGGCTGGACGTCCTGTAGGAGCGTGTACAGAGGAGATTTATTCTATCATGGGAGACTGGATGAGAGGAGCTTAAGACACTTTAATTCTCTTCCTTTGGGGGATCAGTTCTTCAGGGGCAACCCAGAGATTTAGGTTTCTAGCCTAAGCCCAGTTTAGCTTCTCTGGCCTCTGCCTTGGGCCCTTCTTTTGTGGGTTCCCAGGCCCTGCCACGCCTGCATGGCATTTGCCCTGACCCATTGCCTCACTGAAGGGACATGCCACAGAGAAGAAAGGGAGCTGGGAGCAGGGAGGTCAACCCCTCTGGATGATCACCTTTCATTTTCCTAATCTTTGAGAAGGCCTGGAAATTGGTCAAGCTGCTCTCTCTCTCTCTCCCCTGGCTCTGCCCTCAGCATCTAACTACCACCTCATTTCAAGAAAACTGACCCTCATGATGCCGGAAAAGCGAGCCTTGTCATTTCCAACAGAGCCCCAGTGGCAAACAGTGTCCTCTGAACCTCGATCACTGAGACTCACAGACGAATAATAGTAGGATGATTTCTTAAGGAAATGAATCAAAAGGAAATCAAATCTGATTCCTACGAGTAATAACACCACGAACCTACCTGGTACGTGCACTTTGTCACAGTGCCTGTTACCACTGTGGAAATAATAATAGTAACAATGATGATGGTAACTATAGCTTTACACATATTATTTCATTTGATCCTCACAACCACTATGGAAGGCAGTTGCCTCAACTGTACCCATTTTAGAGATGAGAAAACTGATGCCCAGAGAGGTTAAATGGTTTGCTCAGGGTCACACAGCTAGTAAGTGTCAGAGGCAGGATTGAAACCCCCCAGACCAGGCTGTCAAGTTAAATGCCACATGGGATAAAACCAGCCTTTTCTCCTCTGGTGCCTGGAAGGGCAGGGGAGAGTCGTGGGCCTCAGAGAAGTTCTAGCCAGTACTCACCTCACTCCAGTCTCCAACTTCCCAGCTGGCTCCCCCAGGGACTTTAGTGGTGGCTAACGTTCCCTGGGGAGACTCCTCGGTACCAACTGGCTCAGTGTCGGCCGGGCTCCGGAATTTATTCTTGAGGTCTCCGCCATCGTGAACAATGTTCCTAGGGGATGTTTCTCCATCTGGATTTCCCAGCCATTTGTTTGCATCAGCTGGCTGGGGGGCCCAGGGGTGGCTGGGGGGAGATGAGAAGTCTGGGTAGTGGGATACCCTGATTTCATTGGACAAATTGTCTAAGCCCGGGCTGGGGGTCAGTGCAGAGGAGAGGGAATGGTCATCCCAAGGCATGACTACTGGGCCAGCCAGGTCGTTGGGATCAGAGGTCACCGGCACAACTGGGTTTCGGAAGTCCCACTGGGTCAGATCTTGGGCTGGGAGGTCCGTATTCCTTGGCCCTGGGACACTAGACATGGCAGGAGGGGATAAAGAGGTCTCTAATGGAAAGAATGTGACTGGCTTAGTCTCAGAAGGGATGGGGGAAGAGGTAGCTCTCCAGGTCCCCTCAGAGGGGTGGATATCATTGTCTTTCGATCTGCGGTCACTTGAATTCTGTGACCTTTCAATAGGATCAGCGTCTCTAGAAAGGATGATGACTTCTGTCCTTGGCGCACTCGAGGGAACAGCAGAAAGGAATGGCCCCGACTAGTAGCCTGGGGAGGTGGGAGAGCCAGATTGGGCTCATAGGGAAAGTGAGGGGACACAGGGGTTGTTGTACTATCCCCTGAGGCTGCTGTCTCCCCAGGAAACTTCTTGCCGTCATCATCAGGTGCCACGTCCAGCACTTCCCAGAGCAACGAGTCAGGGTCTTTTTCAGAGGCCCCGGTGGGGACATACGTGTCACTGTCATCCTTGCCACCAAGAACGCCGGGCCTCCGATGGGGGCATCTTCTCCATGGGCCTCTCCTTTGCTTTTAGTGGTGTTGGTTCTCTCCCTGTCTGTCTCTACAGGTGTCATCGGGGGTGAGGTGGGTAAAGAAGGGGATAGAGGGAAGGAAGCTGAGAATGCTGGGTCCTTTTTAGAGGCATTGTCTGTCATGGGGCCTTCTGGGGATTTGTCCAGGAAGAGATTAGAGTAGCTATTTGTAGAACTTGGCTGAGGACCTGGGAAATCTTCTGGAAGTACCGTCTCTGGGTCCTTCTGTCCCTGGCTGGGACCGAAGGGTATCAAGGTGGGGGTGGGGGTGGAAGGGAGAGGTCCAGTTGTGAAGCCCACAGACCGCTGGCCATCAGTCTTCATGACTTCCTCCTGAGCTGGGATGTGCTGGGTTGTGGGGCTCTCTGGACCCGCCTGGTCCTCACCCTGTGAGCGGGGAGGTGCGGCCAGGGGCGTTTCATCAGATGTGCCCCAGCCCTCGGGTCCTTCATCAGTGCCCCCACCAATCTCCTCACTTGGCTTGTCCCGATCCTCAAAGGGGCTGTTGGAGAGATCCTCATGAAAGTTGATGAAGTTGTAATCGTAGTAGAAATCATCCACAAAGATGTTGCCTTTCTTGTCATTGAGTGAGAAGTCATCCTCGGTGATGATGTTGGAGTCCTGGGGGCCAGGGGCACCAGGTGCCAGTGGTTCGAACGGAGGAATGTGGTTGCTGGGAATAAACTCAATCTCGTTGAAGAGCTCCCTGCTTGAGGAACCGCTTCCTGACCACTCCGGGACGGCCTTCTCGGGCATCCAGGGACATGGCGGCAGGGAACAGGCTGTCTCTGAGATGGGCCTCTGGGTGGTATCACACGGGGCTCCTGTGTCATTGGTGCAGATCACCGGCCGGCTGTGTGTGCCCGTCCCACAGCTCACAGAACACTAGGAGAAAGAAAACATTTCAGGAAGTGGTGTGGGATAAGACGGCCACGTGGAGGTCACCGGCCTCTCTCTGCTGCCTCCATCTTACTCACCCACACACCTAGGCAATTAATAGCACCATCTGTTTTTGCCCTCAAGCCAAGCACTCCCCAACACAAGATTGTGTAAGTTCCATCACCTCCAGGAAGCCTTCCCTGATTATGTCTTCCCATTCAGATCTGCCCCTTCCCTGACCCCCTCGGGCAGTGACTCATTTATAACCAGTCTTACACATGGTCATACACTCTCCTAAGTTCTCTCATGTTTTCATTAGTATAAATCTTGAAATGAGACCATGAAATAAATTCCAGGGGCATCATAGACCCCTTCATCCCAAACAAGAGGCACCCCCTGGTTCGAGGACAAGGTCAGAACAGGTCAGCTTCTGAAATGGAAGCTAAGACAAATCCACGTGAAAGACACAAGATTGGCCAACGGTAGTGATGTCTTCCCTGCCAAGGATTTCATAGGTTTAGGAGGGCTGGAGGGGATCGCAGAGGCCTTTCAGCCCCACCCCTCCCCATTTGGTGGACAAGGAAACTGAGACCCACAAGGAGGAAATGACTTGCCCAAAGTCACCCATCAAAGAGCTGGGATTTGAACTCAGGGCCACTGACTCCTGACCCAGCTCTCTTGCTTAGCCTAAGAGATGGCTTCTAAGTGGGGCTGATGAATCATGGGATCTCAGAGACAGAGGTGAATTCAGGGGTTATATCTTCTAAACCTTATCAGAACAGGAATCCCCTCTACAAAATCCCAGAGCAGGGAACATTGCATATCCCAGGCTTTCTTGGGAAGACATCAAACCACTGAGAACTTAATCTCAAGGAAACCATCAGGCAGACCTCATATAAAGTCAGGCGTTGGGGTTGGGGTTGGGGGACTGACAAGAGATGCTGAGAAAGGGAAGGTCGAGACTTAAGCATGTGCCCATCTGTCCTCGGCACCATCCACAGCCCTGAGGAGAGACAGGATCTTACATCAGTGACCAACCCAGATTGCAGCAGGACAAATCTCCCTAGAGTGGAAAAGGGTGAGGTCCCAGGCTCTATGCACCTGTGCCCAAAAAGCATTATGCATTTCATAAATAATTGTTGGTTAATAATAATACTTCACATTTATATAACTCAATAAGGTTCTCTCATTTGTCCTCACAATTGTATTATCATCTCCATTTTACAAATGAGAAACTGAGGCTGTCAGTGGTAAAGAGACTTGCCCAAGGTCATGCAGCTAGTAAGTGTCTGAGTCAGGATTTGAACTGAGATCTTCCTGACTCCAACTGGTCAACATTCTAACCATTGTGCGACCTAGCTGGGTGACTGATAAGAGTTCTTGAGGTATTGCCCTGGAGTCATTAATTATTGCTGTCTGCCTCAGTTTCCTCATCTGTTAAATGGGGATAACAATAGCACCTACATCCCAACATTGTTATGTAGATAAAATGAGATAATATTTGTAAAGCGCTTTACAAACCTTAAAGTAATATAGAAATACTGGCTATTAGTGTTTGGTAAAAAGGGAGGGTTGAATCTGTGCAGGAGTTCCTAAACTTTTTTTTGTGTCATGAGCCTTATTAGTAATCTGGTGAAACCCTGGCCTGTGGACCTTTCTCAGGATAATGTTTTTTTAGGTGGCACAGTAGATGGCTGCGTCTGGAGTCAGGAGGATTTGAGCTCAAATCTAACCTGAGATTTGACCCAGCCATATGATTCAGAGGAAGTTATTTAATTGCTATCTGCCTCAATTTCCTCAACTGTAAAATGGAGATAATAATAGCACTTCCCTCCCAGGGCTGTTGTAAAGGTCAAATGAGAAAATACTTGTAAAAGTGCTTTGCTCATAGTGCCTGGGACATAGTAGAGGCTCAATAAATGCTTATGCCCTTCCCCTTGGGAACCCCCTGAAATGGGTCCCTTGGGATCTGTGGACCCGAGGTTGAGAATCCTCTGACCAGAGGGTATCTAAGGTCCCTTTCAGCTTGGAATCAATGATCCCATGACCTGTTATGCAGACAGACATATTTCTCACTGAGCCATCTCGATTCTGTTTTGGTTGGAGAGAAGGTGTAAATAATATGCAAACATTTTAACTCCACATCTCTCTGTTTAAGAGAAGAAATTGCCACCTGGAGCATCAATTCGTGAGGAGGTGGTCACCTTTGTCTGAGTCTAATCACCTTTGGTGGATCTGATAAAACTGGGGCAGCTAGGTGGTGCAGCGGATAGAGCACCGGCCAGATTCAGGTGGACCTGAGTTCAAATGCGGCCTCAGACACATAACACTTACTAGCTGTGTGACCCTGGGCAAGTCATTTAACCCCATTGCCTAGCCAAAAAAACAAAAACAAAAACTGAGTTCCTAGGACTGCAGAGCTGAGGGGTGGTGCTGGGCCCAGGCCAGGGCCCAGACTGAATGCCAAACAACTAGGGCCTTGGATACGTCTGGTGCAGAGCTGAGGCGCAAGCCCTTAAAAATATCTTTTATTGGTGTTTTCCCTTCACGTCAATCACTGCCATTTCCCAAAACCAATTCCTATAACAGACCCATGTCTAGTAATAAAGACATCAGGTTAAGACAAACAAGGCTGCCTAATGACTGACTATATCTGACCGCATTTCTGAGTGCATGTCTCACACGGGGACTGTTACCCACCACCATCTTGGAATGTAATTAACTGGTGCTATCCAGGGCCTGGAGCCCAGGCCTCCCAGCTGAACTCGCTGCCACTACCACTAACTCCCTGGTGTCTACAAAAGGAAGATCACCTACCAGCTCTCAACCCAGTACCCTCAAAGCTTAGTACAGTGCCTGGCACATAGCAAGCACTCTATAAATGTTAGCTATTAGCGTTACTCTTAGAAGGTGGGGTGTCAACCTATGGCTGGACACATTTCTACTTGCCACTCCACTAGTCCCAGTGATTCAGCTGCTGTCTTCCAGTCCCTTTCTGCTGACACCCCTCCCTGGGCTCAGCTCAATCCTATCCTAAAGGAGAGATTAACAGGGACATTCCAGGCTCTAAAGGAATGGAGATAGCCTTCACCTATCACAACATTCTATACCGGCAGACCCTCCCCTGATACATGTTAGCTGCACAGCCCTGGCCAAGTCACAGAACCTCTCTGAGCCTCAGTTTCCTCATTTGTAAAAGGAGGGGGATTAGACAGATTAGACTTCCAGCTCTGGATCCATGAGTCTCTCACCATCACATCACTTTACATAAACTTAAGGTTTGCAAAGCACTTTTTAAAAAATAACTGGGAGAAAAGTAACATGAGATACCGCTGAGATCCAGAGAAGCCCCTTCGACCCACGGCCTGTAGGTGTCAGGGCTGGGATCCAAATCCAGGTCACCTGACTCTGAGCTAATCACTCCTTCCACTGTACATAGCCCTCGGGGGGCCTGGATTCTGCCCGTGGGGGACCCTGCATCATCTCCAGAGCCTCCCTTGTTTCCAGGACATCTGGGAAAGTGCCTGACTCACCTCTGACCAGTTGCCCACTTCCCAGGAGGATGGGCAGGGGTTGTCTTCATTACAGGATGTGGTGACCTCTGGCTTAGGCATGGGATGGCAGTCCTCGGGGCGAAGGGCCCTCTGCTCATCCGGTCCGACACTCTGGATGCAGAGGACGGTCCTCAGGGCCAGGCCTCCGGGCCCACATGTCTTGCTGCAGCTCTGCCATTCCCCAGACCACCACCTGGAGATGAGAAGGGATCCCGGGCAGGCAGAGAGAAGGAAGAGTAAAGCCCTGAAGTGGGACCAGGAGCAGCCTGGAAAACCCCCAACATCAGATGGATGTCCCCTCGCCTCAGTAGTGTTTCCCACCATCATTCTCTAGGGGCTTGCTATCTCTTCCTACAACCCCCCTGCCCATTTTACAAAGTGTAAATCTTGGGCCTGGTGTTACTGCATGATTCACCCAAGGTTGTGGAGCCAATTAATGGCAGGGCTGGGACGTCAACCTAAGTCTTATCCCCATCTCTCTCTCATTCTCTCCTCTCTTTCTCCACCATCTTCTCCCCATCCTCCCTCTCTTTTGTTCTTTCTCCTCCCCCATCTTCTCTTCTTCTTTCTCTTTCCCTCCCCCATCTTCTTTCTCTGTCTCTCTCTCTCTCCTCTTCTGACTCAGTAGAATAAACCGATGGTATGAGTTAAGTAGCAAGGCAAATCAGCACCCTTCCCTCCCGTACTTGGTGGCAATCTTCTCTCCATCCCTGGTCTCTGGACTCTCCTGTGTACATGCCTTTTCTGCATTTCATCCCCCATGCCAGAAATGGACCCACCCTAGCTCCAGCTATTAAATTCTCTCTCTCTCTCTTCTCAAGGTTTCTCTGGGCTCCATCTCCTCCACGTGGTCTTCCTTGATTTCCCAATCCCAGCCGTAAGTGGCCTCCCATAACCCTTTGCCCAGTGCCTCTTCTTGGGGCGCATCTCCCTTTCCCTGCATTGCATTTATCTGGACACACATCTTTCCCCCATTAAGTTTCTAAAATCAGGACCTGCCATCTAGCTCTCTTTGCATTTCCTCTAGGGCTTAGAGAAGCACCCCAAACATGTTAAGAGCATAATGTTTAAAGGAACTGAAGTTATACAAAGGTATACACGTAGAAACCTAAAGAGGTGTTATTAGATGGGACCTGGTAGGATGGACAGAGGCAGGGGGAGGACCCCTTTCCAGGGCTCAGAATCACAGAATTCAGAGTTGGAAGAAACATCAGGGGCCAAATCCAAGCCCCCATCACAGAGCTGAGAAGGGGACTCTTTGGGTGTTGGGGGGAAAGGGCAGGAAAAGGGCTGATGTAGGAGGTGGGGTAGGGAGGCATCACCTGGCTGGGCAGGGCTCCTGGCTACAGTTCTTCTGTCTGTCATCCGGCCTGGTCAGGGCATCGCAATGCCGCTCCTCCACAAGGCCCGCTAGCTTCTCCACGCAGTGTACGGCCTGTCTCTGCACCCCTAAGTGAGGACACACTGTGTGCATATGTATGTTGGGGCGACAGAGGACAGCTAGCATGTCCCCCTTGAGTCTTCTTTCCTCCAGGCTAAACGTCTTCCAGGGTCTCTCAAGGTCTTTCTCTATTGCTGGTCCATTTCTTCTGCAAGAGGTCTTTCCATGTGCCCTTCTTATATTCCACCCCCTCCCTGCCACAGCCTTCATTTTGAGATCAGCTCTCATCTGCTCAACATATATTTCCTATGAACCTAGTCATTTGTACGTTGTCTCCCCCACTGGTCTGGGATCAACTTGAAGGGTAGGCCTGATTTTGACTTTCTTTGTATCGCTAGCACTTAGCACAATGCCTGGCAATAGGTTCTTTTCTTAAATTTAAGATTTTATTTTTTTCTCAATTACATGTAGAACAATTTTAACATTCTTTTTTCAAATTTGAGTTCCAAATTCTCTCCCTCCCTCCCCTCCCTTCCTCCCTCATTAAGAAGGCAAATAATTGATACAGATCATACATGTGGCACATAAGTTCTTAATAAATTCTTGTTGACTAATTGCCAGGCTGCTATGGCATTCTATTGACTCCAGTCCATCTACTCTACTGTCAAAATGATCTTCCTAAAAGAAAGCTCTAGACCACATCACCATCTTACTCACTGAACTCCAATGTCTATCACCTGCAGAATCAAATATGATATTCTCCATTTATCATTTAAAGCCCTTCATAACCTGCACCCAACATTTCCAGTCTTCTTATACTTTCCCCTCTTCTCTGTGGATTATTTATCATTTATTAATTAATGCTGGAATCCAGCTTTATGGGATTAGAGGCTGCCCGCACCCAGAAAGTCTCCTGACCTCAGTAACTCTCTAGGAATGCTGAAGATGGCTACAAAGAATTTGGGGCTTCCCCGGGTCCTGTCCACCCAAGTTTGTGTTTGGGTTCCCTACATGTGATTCACATGTGACTTGTGTGTGAATGTCTATGTCAAAATCCTATATGATACAAACTTTTCAGAACCTGGGTGAGGGGGCCACCCCTTCTTTTTGGCTCTCTCTCTTTAATGACTTAATCACTTCCTTTTTAAAACTATTTACATTTTGGAGATTTGGCCTTAAGAACAACCCCTCCCCCCCCATACTCTGTGATCCAGTGATGTTGGCCTCCTGGCTGTCCTGCCAATAAGACCCTCCATCTCTTGGCCCAGGGCGCTTCCTCTGGCTGTCTTCCACATCTGGAATGCTCTCCCTCCTCATCTGCCCCCGGGTTTGCCTAACTTCCTTCAAGTCCCAGCTAAAATCCCACCTTCCAAGAGAAGCCCTTCCCAGCCCCTCATCCTATGCATTTTTAGGGACCCCTGGGGGTGGTTCATGGGCTTAACCAGACAGCCCAAAGGGCTCATGACCCAAATAAAGGTTAAGATGCCCTGATCTAAAACCAATGACACTGTGCCTGGAGCCTGCTTGCTTGTCTTTTGTTCATGCAGGCCACTCATGTGCTCTTCCCCACTCCTCCTCCAGGCTCCACTGGGTGAGACCCTGAAAATGACCCAGCTAGGTTCCCTCCCTGGCCACCAACTTCAGCTTTCAGGTGCCCAGGGGCTAGGCCTGTCAGGGGAACAGTGGTTTCTTTGCGTCCTGCTTAGGAGAAGGGAATCTGAAACTTGATCCCTGGGCAGAGGCAGGGCAGGAAGGAACAGGAAGATAGGGGAGGACCCTTGGTATGTTGCTCCCTCTGGTCAATGTAGAGTAGAGGTGAAGGGTGAGAAATGAGGCTGGGAGCTTGAAATGGCAATGAACAATCTAGATGATAAGAGTCTAGACCTAAAGGAGGGCTTACAGATTATCTAGTCCAACACCCTCATGTTACAGGGGAGGAAATTGAGGCCCAGATACGTTGAGGGACTCGCCCAAGGCCACACAGTTAATAATACTAGGCAACATTTTTGTAGTACTTACTATATGCTGATACTATGCTAAACGCTTTTTTAAGCATCCATTTTTTGGTCCCTCCCACCTCCTCCCATACACCGAGGCAGAAAGAAATAGAGATATAGAAACCTTGGGTGGCATGAGTACAGAAATAGAAACCCACTCCCACATCGGCGATGTCCAAACAGGAATGACTTATTCTGCATCTAATTAGATGGAACTTCAACAGGGAAAAGTTTAGTGTCTTGAGTTCCAAAAATTGATTTCTCAAGCATAACATGGGGGGAGGCAAGGTTAAGAAGCTATTTGCCCAAAAAAGATCTGGGGGTTTTAGTGGACTGCAAGCTCAGTATGAATCAGCAGCGTGATAGGTAAGCCAAAAGAAAGTTAATTTGATCTTGTGCTGCATTGAGAGGTGCAGCTATTGGGAATGAGGAAGTGAGAGCGTGTCTGTCCTCTACCCTGGTCGGGAGTACCCTGGGCACCACAGGCTAAGCACATTGAGTGGTAAGCTGAAGAGCAACTAGAGGAGAGAACCCAGGATGGGGAAAGGTCACATCATATAAGGGTCACTGAGAGAAGACTCAGGGGACACATGTTAGAGGTAGCTAGATGGTGCAGCAGAAAGAATGCCTCACTTGGGCTCAGGAAGACCCAAGTTCAAATCTGGCCTCAGATACTTGCTAGCTGTGTGATCCTGGGTAAGTCACTTAACCGCTTTGTGCCTCAGTTTCCCCACATGTAAAATGGATATAATAACATAATAACCCACCTCTCAGGGTTATTGTGGGGATCAAATGAGATGATTTTTACAAAGCTTTTAGCACAGTGTTGGGCACATAGCAAGTTCTTAATAAAGCCTTCCTTCTTCCCTCTTTGTGCCTCAGCTTCCCCATCTATAAAATGGGAATAAGAATAGCACCTTCCTTCCGGGGATGCTGTGAGGATCAAACGAGCTGACCGTGAAGCACTTAGCTCAGTGCCTAGTGCACAGGAAGTGCTTCACTAAGCCTTCCTTCTGGCTGCTTTGTGCCTCAGTTTCCCCACCTGTAAGATGGGGATAAGAATAGCACCTTCCTCCCGGGGATGTTGTGAGGATCAAACGAGCTGACCGTGAAGCACTTAGCTCAGTGCCTAGTGCACAGGAAGTGCTTCACTAAGCCTTCCTTCTGGCTGCTTTGTGCCTCAGTTTCCCCATCTGTAAGATGGGGATAACAATAACACCCACCTCCCAGGGACGTTGTGAGGATCAAATGAAATAACACATACACAGTGCTTTGCAAACCTTCAAGGGATACAGCAATGCGGGCTATCGTTATTCTGATGGTTGTCTCAGTATCTGAAAGGCTGTCCTACGCGTGGCCCCAGAGGGTAGACTCCAAAGGGTGGAAGCTCCAAAGGGGCAGATTCACGCTGGTGATGGGGAAAAGACTCCTAATGAGAGGAGCTGTTCACGGGCAGAATGGGCTGCCTCTGGAAGTGAAGAGTCCTCCATCATGAGAGCTCTCCAAGTCAAGGCCAGACAAGCATCGTCAGGCAGATCGTGGAGAGAAGGCATCTTCAGGCAGGACCAGAGGGCTGCTAAGGTCCTTTCCAATTCCCCAAATTCTGTTATTCTAGGACAGAGATCAGCTGCGCCCCAGGAAGGGTGGGGAACTCAATAATAATTAATAATTTTGTTGTCATGCAGTCACTTTTCAGTTGTATCTGACCCTATTTGGGGTTTTCTTGGTAGAGATAATGGAGTGACTTGCATTTCCTTCTCCAGCTCATTTTATAGATGAGAAAACTGAGGCAAACAAGGTTAAGTGACTTGCCCAGGGTCACACAGCTGGTAAGTTTCTGAGGCTGGATTTGAACTCGAGTGCTTAATTCATATTTGCTGATTCACTCTTTCTTTCTTTCTTTCTTTCTTTCTTTCTTTCTTTCTTTCTTTCTTTCTTTCTTTCTTTCTTTCTTTCTTTCTTGGCAATTGGGGTTAAGTGACTTTCCCAGGGTCACATAGCTAGTAAGTGTCAAGTGTTTGGTCTGAGGCCAGATTTGAAGTCCTCCTGACTTCAGGGCCGATGCTCTGTCCGCTATGCCACCTAGCTGCCCCTTCACTATTTCAATTACATTCAAAATGTCACAGTGCTGTGAAAGTATACAGACTATTCTAATAGTCTGAATGAATGAATGACTTTAAAAACATTCACTGGGTGCTTACTAGGAGCACGTGCTTGGGCAAGGTGCTGTGTGTGGGTTCTGCCCGCAAATATCATACCTGTGGCTCCCAAAGGTGGAGAGCCTGTCTCATGGTCAGACTAAGGGCTCCCCTGGTCTACAGATTTCACCTTCTCAGTTGCTTACATCAAGCTGAAATCCAGCCCACACCCTCTCCTCATACCTAGATCTGTTCTCCAGGGTAATAAAGAATAAATTCCCTATGAGTGTTCTTCAATTACTCAAGCCAGCTTTCACGTCCTGCTTGAGTCTCCTTCCACTGATCTTTATCTGCTGTGATCTCCAGTTCCCTCGCTGTCCTGGTCCTCCCAGCTGCCCTCCATAATACCCACACAGGACCTTGACGTGGCTGGGGCATGGGGTGGTTGCTGATGAGACCTCAAAGGGCAGCCTTGCTTGCCCGGCTTCCATCAGGAACACTTCATGCAAGAGCCTCAGAGAGCCTGACCCCTTCCCTGGGCCCTTCCTGTGCCCCTGGTTTCTTCCCAGTGCTGACCTCACCTCCAACACCACTCTCCCGGGTGACCTTCGCCTAGAACCGTTGGGTCGCTGGAACACAATGGTTCACATCTGCTGCTCTATTGGCTTTGCCCATGAGTATGACTGTTTATATAGGAAGCATCTGCTCAAAGACTCAAAAGTTTCTATAATTGGCCTGTTGTTCTTCTTTACCTAGGGAAACACTCAGGATGACCAGCACCATTTCCTTTCCATTATAAACATCTGACACATTTCTATAGCTTCAACAGGGTGCTGGAGGGCTTGGGTTCAAATCCCAGCTCGGTGACTTACTACCTGTGTGACCTTGGTGAGCCATTTCTCCTCCTCTGGATGCGTTTCCCTCACTGGAGAT